GGGCGTTCTCTGAAAGAGGAAATCGTCTCTTACGAACTCCCATGGCTTGCTCATGTTTGGCGTATGCTTAACAAGCGTTTCTTTATTACACACACTTGTGTGATGAACAGCGAACGGGGTGGACCCCACGGTCACGGCAACTTAAGGCCCGGGTCTTAGAGTGGCAAACCACATAAGGCTCCGCTCAGCTAGGCGTATTGTTGAACCGAACGACATCAAATCTGCCCACTACCAAAGTGGAGTGGCGGGGCTCGAGCCTCGGACCACAGGATCAAAAGCACAGCGGGGACAGCGAGTAAACCACCGCACCGCCACCGTCTCCGATCTCTCATTGCACATGCTGGGTAAGACTGGAGGAAGAGAGGTGCTAGTTAGATCATGAATTGGCTTAGGCGAATGAAGATAAGAGGTTTGCCCCGGCCGCGGCTTTTATTGGGGCTAAAAGGATGAAAACTATCTCTGGTTAGTGCAACGGAGAGATATAGTCAGGAATGGGTGGTGCTAATTTATGGATAAAGAAATCAGAAAGAACGGTAAAGTAATACATACAGACTTCCTATTGGTGTGATCAAAAGGAACAAACATAACTGAACACTGTGGAACATTACTGATAACCGGAATTGACCAAATAGAGTCCATGCATCGGTCGGAAAATTGTACCCAACAGATCATTTTGCACTAGTGCATAAACAATTGTGGAACAGAACAAAACAGCATGAAACCAAAGAGAACGATTTCAACAAAAACATAGGATCACTAACTTCATTTGCCAAGAGATCTCGAACTGCAGTGACGAGCGCCTCGAAATAGGCCGGGGCCAAATATCGCGGTAATCCATTCAGGCGGGAGAATATCACGTGTAAAATTTTTCCGGTTTTGACCAAGTCTTCGGTCAAAATTGTCTTGGCGTTCGGTGGAAGTACGCATAATCGTTGAGCCAAATAGTGTGCAAGCCAGTCACCGTTTCGTAAATGTGAACAGACCGGATGACCCAGATCGTTCTTGCTTCGAATATCCTCGAGCACGGAGACGATACTCTACAAGGCAAGACGAACGCGTGTTGAATTGCATGGTAAAGAGCAGAAGTAAACGCAGATAGTGCGATACATAGAGTATTCGAACCGTGAAGAGAAAATCAAAAACAGATATGAATGTTGCAACAAGAGAAGGTTCACACATTATATTCGACGCTAAGAAACAAACATCCGGTGGATGGAGTGCAAAACAAAATCCGTATCTAAATTAATACAATAGAGAAAGAAAGATTTCTTGATTCAAGCGCTGAGCTATTGGGGGAGATTGAACTTGTTTGACACACACTGGCAAGAAAATGAGTCGGTTTCATGAATGCATGAAGAAGAATTGATGGAGAATTTCGGAAATCGGGTCGATGACGTTTCCAGTGTCATCCGAAATAACATACATCTCGACTACCCAAACTGGGTGAGGGAACTTTTTTAGGGAATTCCATCGAAACCTTTGGTTATTCAAAAGCTAACTCGTAAGGCAGCGGAACAGCGTCGGGATGTGCAATTTCATAATCACCGGTAACCAAAGTGGTTTATATGTTATTCGGTCAGTCATGCCCCGGGGATTATGAGAGAAAAAAGATTCATAGGTCGGCGACTGTGATAGGGTAGATTTCTCATGCTGGCGCACGTCAGCTGATGATAAGGCATCTACGCGTTTGTCTTTCAACCTTAACTCGTATTTAAGAGGATCGGTTAATTGAATTTGGAAAGATCAATCACATAGGCCTTTACCACAGAACCGCCCTGAGATAATTTAGCGTTTGCGATGAGACAGATGACCAATTTGTTACTCCCATGCCCGGGTATTGCCGCTGCTGTTTATTCACGACTGCTTAGTTGTCACAGTAAGCCATGACTTATTCCCAGTCAGCCCTTGTTGAACCTATCCCCTATTCACAACCCGTGGACGGGCCAAGAAGTATACAGCTATGCATATCTGAGTACCACGCTACCCGGGAGGTCCAGGAATCGAGGGATACTTCGTCAAATCAGAATAGTTTGATGGATTAGGAGTAACTTTAACCGTACTTTTTAACGACGATCTGTTTGACATTGGTGAAGATTGAACTGGAGCTGATTTATGATAATACGATGATAATAAAATGGATACAAAACATACCTATATGGCCACGCGATCAAGTTAAACACACACACACACACATACGTCACTGCTGCCGGAGCTGATGCAAACAACAAACAAAATAAGATTGCACCTGGATTCGTTGTCTCGGCTAGTGCAACACAAAGACAGACGAGGAGAGAAAAAGACGGATAAACACAAGCAAACTGAATGACGAGTGACAGTGACAAATGTTATGTTCATTCGTTCGTTCGTTCGTTCGTTCGTTCAAATTATACGCCTAAAACCGAGTCGGCAACCGAGTGTGATAAACGCGGACCAGATTTTCGGATTGAGTGAACTGAATTGAACGCACACAGGACCACCACCATACGTTGCGAATTAAACTGACAGTTTAATTGAAATCGTACACCGCTCGTTCTACAACACACACATAGCATTCAGAACTGGTCAGGTGTGATGTGTACATGTAAGGCGTGACTATACTGTTCGCTGATGTTCACATGAACTGTGAAGATTACATATCGAAGACATCAGCGCTATTTAGAGTCAAAGTTGACGAAACTCAAAGCTGAGATAGAGTTCAACTGTTTACCTGTCCGGGCGACCGGATAATCTCGACAGATCAATACGCATCCCTGAAAGAATAACAGAAATCTGGCAGTATTTCTCTCTCTATTTCTCAAAACATTAATCAGAAAAAGACGTTGAATAGAATTTGGTGTGGTAATGAGAGAAAAATACGGTGCCTCACCTTTGATTGAACCACTGATGAGGATGAGTACTAAGATAAAAAAACAAACATCATGACAAAATGCGTCATTCTCTCCATTGTCAAGTGTCTATATACCAACTGTGAAAGTCAATGATCACAAGTATAGGGTTCTATATCTATTCACAATCCTTATAACTACAGCAATAAAGCGACCACAAGTGTTCGTCGAAGATAATGAAATATTCGAGTACATAATTAAAATTGAATAGAGAAAAGAACATATGAGCAGAAAGCTCTGTACCAATTTAGCGAACTCGTTAGGTTTCGATCTTGCCGGTACAACTTGTCCATAGAGCATAAATAATTTTTCAAGCTGACTGTGAGCAAATAACTAACATTGCTCGTATCCGCGGTAATCCCCACAAAGAATTACGATCCACTCAGTAAGATTCCGTAGAAAAAAATGTGAATACGGTGTACTTTGAACAGCCGTTTTGGCGAAAAAAGCATTCGTACTCAGTTATAGATTACATTAGCGATTTCATCGGGGAAAAATAAACTTTATCAAGTTTTTCAGTAAAGGTTTATTCCGAATGATGAGTCAGTTGTACCAAACAAGTATGATAGCTCCCAAAAGCCTCAGTATGGTCGGGGGTGGATGTCATGGGTTGCGGCTGGTTACCGCTCCCTTACACCCCGCGAAATGCTCCCATTAGATCAAGCGTTTCAAATAGCCTCTAATGAGGAAGCCCCTAATCACTGCCTTCTCCTGGAGGAGGTGTTTTCCCACCAAAATGAGAGAACGAGAAGCCAATACATGAGGCTGTAACCGGTACGGTGAGCCACTGCCAGTTCACCTAGGGGAGTTGGCCAAAAACCCTGATTCCAAACCAACCAAGAACGGGCGTACAAACCACACCCACCCACAGCTTCTTGGTCGTGGTATTCGTTACCTCCTCGATTGGTTATCTAGATGTAATGGATACCTTGGATGTTTGACCCCTTCCAATGGACGTGTGATCCGATGAACTGTGTGTGCATCAGCCCCAATCGATTACGGTCTTCACACACCACCCCTTGAGGGTCAGGTTTGGCTAGCCGAAGGCTCCGGTTGAGAATTTCCAGGAGAATTCATCTGCCCTGGCCTAGGTAACCGGGAGGTATCCCACCCACAAGCAAATCATGGAACGTTTTTCTTTTTCATAAAGGTTATTCTACTGTGATTTGTTTGGCACTCAGTCTGAACTTAGGCGTGTTTGAATAAATATATATAATAAGTGTGATATACAATCGGATCTATTGTAAACATACCTGAAAACCACAATAGCATAGTTTTCCAAAACCGGGAATATCGTAAGTGCCGCTGTGCGGTTCATCCACTCGTTCCTCTGCTTCACAACGAAACATGGCCCAGTTCAATTCGACCAGGTTCAAATTGCTCGCTTGAATCCGTAACTCGTTCGGCTCGAGTAAACTAGCTTCGGACGGTAGCATATGGGGCATATAGGCGTTCTTTCCACGGCCCATACTCACACTCACGCGTTGTCGCATCAAACGATGCGAGAACTGAGTGACAACGGTGGACAGGGGGCGGGGGGGGGGAATCAGCTTATACTTGCAGATAAATACGGGTGCTTATTCAGTAAAGGTCGGATTTTTCCTTACACAATCAAGCGTCTAAAAGCGATCTGCAAGCAGTTCAGTAACAAACCATTCGAATGTGAGTTCCTTTAGGCGAAACAATGCATCATTCGGGATTCTAAAGACGCTCAATCAATTAGGCAAGTAAATAACCATGTGGAAATTCGAAAGATAATTATGTTCTACCGTATAGGGTTGGCACTCACCATTCGCCTTCCTGGTTGTTCAACTAAACAATCTGTTTATGTTTCATTATTTAAAGTTAGGGTCTTCCCCATATCCCCATAAATGATTGATCAGTTCAACTACTGAAGTGACCTACTCATCTGGTTACAAAGACTGGTTCGGAAAGCTGACCAGTTTCTTCAAGAATATTACAATAACTTTGAATGGCCATGAAATAATGCCATAAATGACCTTGCATATCCACATGTCCATGAAGAGGAGATTACTATAAAAATCAAAAGTAGTTAGAATATCCATTAATTTGACACAACCAAAACCAATGTTTTCATCTAATTGAAAATTAGAGTTATATTGTGTCATCTGTATCAAATATATGCTGGCAAATAGACGAGGCAGAAATTCAGCACACTTGGATGAACGTCATGGAGGATGGGTCAACAGTGACAACTAGATAACTTTTAATCGTCTTGACAGAAAATTGAAAGGTTTTGACTTGTGTTCAAGTTCTGAAAAGTGCCGAATAGGTTCGAACCCAGAAGTGGATGTTATCAACGATTTTGCATGACATATGGCTTACCAGCAAGTCTAGCACTAAATTTATGTTTTTCTTCGAGACAGTCCGATTTTTTATCACCTCAAAGAAGAAAAAGAAACTAAGAGATAAACAACAATAAGCTATCCGTAGAACAGTATACAAATGGGACTGATCTATGTTGTGATCCATGAGAAGCTTCGAACCACGAAAGAGAATCTTCCGGAGCAACTAACCAGTTTGGTAAAGTTATTCAATGAAAATGAACCAACTAAAAATAGTTCACTCCAGAATTACCACTGGCAGCTAGACCGAGACGGTTATTGGATTGCTACATGTGAAGCATATCCCGTGGATGTAGTTTGACTTGATCTAAATAGGATAGAATCTAAAAATAGGATTACAGAGGAGCTGGTGGTGTTTTGCAAAACAGATTGTCTCGCCAATCAGATTTTCTTCCAAACATAGCTTGTCGTCAAGTTCACCGCGTGTGCTGTGTGAACGCAGGTTATTCATCGTGATGTTGCACTTTGTTTACTACACCAAAAACAAAAAGACAAGGCAATTTGAATCAAATCGGTTTTTGTGCTGATCCCCAGATTTACAGGTATGATCTGAGCATCATTGCAGCTAAACCTGTGGTAAAAATATATAATTATCAGTTCTTGAATGGGTTCAAAATTTTTTCCAAAGAGAAATAATCCCGCAGATAGTTTGGTGCTGGTGAGTTCCCCGAGCTGGAAGAGTTGTTTAGACGTTTCGTAACCAAACTAGGCTACGAAACGTCTGTGAACAACGTTACCAGCTCGGGTAACTAACGAACACCAACATCCGCATCCCGAGGTACGATCATTCCACATTATTTCCAATCCCGCAGACAATTGACTGCAATACCTGACTTCGCATGAGTTCATGCAAACTGGACACGGATTTCTCTTGTGCCTCGGTCAGCCGAACGGAAACGACCACAACCGAACCGGGTGGGAAGTTGTAAAAACACAGTCGATCGATGGGGATTCCTTGCGCGTTCTTGATTTGTTCCACACGGAACATTTTGCTCGAATTCGCTTCCACATTGGTCAGCATAGAGTATTTCACATCGGCAAGTCCGTTAATAAACTGAATCGGTTGTTTACGGGAAAGGAGTGAAAAAAGGATGAGGAAAAACAATTACCAATCAAATTCGAAGGGTACTTTTAAAAAGTTAGTAAAACAATTTTGAAAAATGATTAATAATCGACCAGATTTTACAAAGATAGATTCCCCACTCTAAACCAAGAACATCATCTGAAGACAGGGTTATTTCTTCAATGCGTAAAGGGTGAAGAAGTTAAATGAACAGTAAAATGAGGAACTTTTCTCATTACGCATCGAAGTGTGATGTTTAACAGTCAGTCGGATGACAGCGAAGCAGCCTACTACCAAAGTTTGATAGCAGTGTGATGGTTCAAACATGGGAACTTAGAACTCAAAGTACACAAAATGACTTCGACTTAAACCATTTGATCACTGTCATCCGTTGACGAATTGAACGAAATAGCATATATCCCTTCTCAAAACCGAGGAAATGTGATGGTTCCTTAATGAAACAGGGACTTTGAAAAATGGGATTTAAATTGATATCACTTTTTCTCAAGTCAAGAAAAGCTCTATGCACTTACGTAGATGTTACCGATAAGAACATCAGGTAAGTTTCAAATAAACCATGCAAGCATAATGCAACCAGCCAAATCATGAAGTGCAACTAGGCGCGTATTGCTTGACGAACTCTTCGTGCGAAGTAAGGATGTCTGGGCATGAAAGACTACTTATGACAAAAAAGTGAGTCGAAAAATAAAATGAGGCCCCTACTCATAACATTCTCGTGACAGGTGTTTTCTCATCAAAGTGAGGATGAAAAAGCTAATACGCGGGGCTGTAACCCGCACGGTGGACCACTGTTAGTTCACCTAAGGGAGTTGGCCAAAAATCCTGATTCCAAACCAACCAAGAGGAGGCGTTTGAATCACACACACACAACTGATTGTACCAATGGTCACTCTTTCGATTGGGTATCGAGGTGTATTGGGTAACTCTGACGTTTGACTCCGTCAAAAAGCGAATGATCCGATGATCTGTACACTGGTCCCCAAATGGACGGCAGTTTTCACACACCGCGTCGCTGCCTTGCGGGGCATAACTGTTTATCCAGGCCTCATATCCAGATTAGAAATACAGACTAGCATTACGACAATAGACTATTGCTATTGAAGAGCACCTATATGCAACTTCATGTCCTGTAGTACCACATTGCGAAAGATGATGCACGTTAAAAGCCAAAATCTAAAAACCCCAAACATTTGCTAGTATTCATTGCAGTTATTTGCAGAATCAAAGACTAACGGGGATGCCCGAATGTTATAACTAAGCTAATGGTTTTATGACAAAAAAATCAGGCCACTGACATTTCATGCACTGATGCCTTCCGGGAATGTGGACTGAATATGAAAACGCAAAACACATTCCAAATGTGATAACTGACACGATATGCAACACGTACAGGGTTTCCGTTTTGCACAACGTTTGCCGGACACATGAAATGCGCGGATCGTTGTTATCGATGACCGCACAGAACCGACTGGTGGTGAACACGGTCCTATCGACCGCGCTCGGAATCGTGCACCGTGCCAACAGCGGCACCGAGATCAAATGGAACTTACATCGGGATGGCGTTTGAAAACCGCCTCTGGTCGACCGGAACCATGATACAATGTTTGAATCTCGAACAACAGTCGATTCACTTGACCACCCACTTCCAGCGGGCGAACATCCTGATGGCCGGCATCGACAACCCCTTGGTGAAACGCGCAATGGGCCACGAGAACTACGGATTCGCGAGTTTGTGGACAAATTCGAGTGATTGCTATCACATTTTCCGAGACCTAATCGGAAACAGGTCCGCAAAGAGAAGGAGAGGCAAAAGTTTTAAATACAAGTGTGCAACATCAAAGAAGAAGGCATTAAGAAATTAATCATGAAGTGTAAGAGACGCTAGTAGGACAGAACTGGAAACTACGCATAGAGGAACAGTAAAACAATTTTGTTTTATATACATATAGATCACGTAACATGACAGATTTAGGCTGGGGGAACTACTGTGACAAAAAGAGCGTAATGTTGCCCAAGGATAATCCATGACATTAAATTCGTGTGATAGTCGACTATGAGGACTGGGCAGCTGTTTCATCCTCTTTGATACTTTTCGCGTCCCCGTTGCAGACCACCGGGTTAGGAACTAAAAGCCTGACTCTTGAGCTATACGGTCAACAGTCAGCATCCTAAACGCATGGCCACATCAATCGATTCACTATGCGCTTATCTTGGGTCACGCGAATTGAAACAAATCAGAGTTAACCATATTGTGATTGGGACCCACGCATAGGTACCCCTAGGCAGACGGTAATGTTCGTGAATTCGCGTGAGCTAAAATTCGTTCACATTTGCACAAATATGGCCCATGTTTCTGCCTTACATTGTCCTGAGTTCGGTCGCATAAGGTCACGACATATTCTCTTCCATCTTTGATGGCAGGCAAAATTGCTGTTGTCCGACTTAATACCACCATTCCAATTAACTGAACTACGCTTACCGGTTCTCATCATTGAAAATGAGATTCCTAAGAAAGTGGGTTTTACGAATACATTCTGGAACTCTAAAATTTTGTCAGTCTGCAAATTAGAAAATATGGCCAACGTATATTTAAGCACAAAACAGATTCTGGGAGGACAAGAAAAAACAATGATTGCCAACAGTAACCCCAAGGTGTTGAACTCAGTTACCTATGGGTTTCTAGATGCTGATAGATGCCACGATCTCAATAGACTGAAAATGTATTCAGAGTAGTTAGTCGGTTTCAGATTAAAACCAAAATCAAGTAGTAAGCTATGCAGATTGCAACGATTGCCTGAGAACTTGATGGAATCAAAATTATTAGTTAGAGCTGGTGGATACAATAACCCATGAATAGCGAATTTAGAAAGCTGGAGAGAAATCACTGATAAGGATAGAGTTACTTTACGTTCATACAACTGGTGCTTAGACAGCTCAGTTGCTACTGAACGATGGAGTATACTGGGTGACCTGTGGTCCCCCAGACCAGACATTGATATTCGATGAACTGTTGTCTTCAATCGCCACCCTGTTACTTATAGGTTCAAATTTTTGCTAGCCGAATACTTCTGTTGTGAATCGATCTGTCCAAACTCGGGCAAGCTGATAGTAATGCGAAAACAGACAAATCGTGAATTAATTTGATTATCATAGCAAAGTATGTACCATAATGAGTGAAATATATGAATACCCATATTTCAAAGCAGAGTATTCCCGGAGGTAGCACTGCTTACCTGATCAACAAAGGTCTCCGAAAAGCCTTGATAAGACAACCATGAATGCAACTCGTTCAGCAAAGATTTGGCCTCAACAAAACCGGTCCGTTCGTTAATTGTTTCCGGCCAACGGGAATAATATCGTGTCTCGGAGACCACATCAATATTGTGGGGGACTAGTTCATCATGACCTCGGGTACTACCTATTGCACAACAGGCAAGGGAACCCAGTGCAGACAACGGAAGAAAATCAAACGCACAATGTCTCTCAGCCACGCTTTGGTTGTCATGAGTTTGGTCGTAGAGAAGAGCGTGGGCCACGGACGGATAAAGTCGATGCTTTCCCAGTTGATCGAAAAATGCTCCCGCGGGTCGAGTCACACCATACCGATACAACTGTGAGCCGAAATTATGACATGAATGCGAGGCAAGCGATTCTAAGAGGAGAGAAAATCGTACAATAAAAAGAATGGAATACGATGATGATGGTGTGCAGAGCAAGGCTGATTAAATGTCAGTAGTGACCCTATGAGAAAACAGTTTGAAACCCTTTGTGATTATTTGGATCTAAAACATTTGATTGAGATGCATGTTTACGTTTTTTGATACCATTTGAGTTTTATTAATAATGATACTATGAAACATTTAAATAACCGTAATTTTACACATTTACACCACAAAAGTAGGCTTACGCTGGTGAGACAGTATGAGACAGCCGAAGTAAACGTCGTAAGTTGACTGTTTCTTGACGTAGTTATGCCAAACCCGTTTTAATTTATATTCGAAATCTAAAACCATCGTGAATTTGATCACAATTTCCTTTTGTACTATTCAGTTCTTTAGTCATACAAATATCCATAAAGTTTCCATTCATTTGGTTTGTTCATCGGATTTCTGGTGAGCACCGATAATCAACATGACACAACTAATACCAGTGTGTTGCTAATCGAAGATTACATTACCTAATCATTGCCTAATCACACGGTATTTGGTGCAATTGTACCATGCTGGTGTCTTTATCTGACGAAAACTCTCCACTTTATGTCAATGCCGTCTAAATAAACCGTATCTGTATCTATCACAGATAATGGGGCTATGTGCAGCCAAACTGGATGCGGCGCATTGGCAACTATGGATGCAAACAACCAATGGGACCGAAAATGAGATCAGACTAGTCAGTGTCAGCGTGAGATAACACGATATGTAGTTTTCGTGTCTAAAAACACTGCTATTAACCATCAGACCCGACAGAGGTTCGATAGGAACCTATTCTAGTGGACAGGGACACGCATTTAGCTGAAATTGTTGCTGCATTTTGTTGCAGCGTGAAACGGTTGACAGCGAAAACTGCGATTTATAAGGTCCATCACACAGCGAAATTTATTCGGATACATTTTTGAAAATGTAAAAATGTTGAATAGAAAAAGAGACGGCAATCCCAACGAACACTGCTTCGTGTAGCGAACTATGGTCGAAAAAAGAGTGATAAACCCGGACTAAGCCTCTGCTATTGGCATAAAGGTATTGGAATATTGAAATAAACTTCCCGGGCACATTTGTCAAGGAGAGGAGGAGCCAGACCATAGAGATGTTGACTGGGTCAAAAGCTGCTTTCCGATCAAGTAAGACAGAAATAGTGGGTCTAAGAAATGAATATCTGTGCTCCATAATCTGGCAAAAAGTGAAAATGCGGTCCTTGCAACCTCGTCCAGTTCTAAAACCAGCCTGGTTCTCACGCATGCTGTTATCATATGTACTAGACAATCGACGGAGCAAACTTTCGGCGAGAAGTTTGGCGACGATGTTGATTAAACTAATCACCCCTGTGGTTATTATTTACCACCTTCTTCGTAAATCGCTAAAATAACCGACACACATTATTCAGTTCAAAACCCTTCACTTTGTCATAATAACCCAGGAGTTGTGTCACCTGGAAGACCACGGTTGAATTTCCATGATTAACTTATTTCCCAAGCAACCTAATTCAAAAGGAGAACCAATATGAACTGGCAGTAATTGCTCGATCGAAGTCGGATATTGATGAAGGCCGTAAAATCCAAAGTATTCACATTTTTTATTATAGGGAATGCTTTCAAGATATAGTCTTTTTGTGTCATAGGGTTTTGGCATAGCTGAATCGATCGACCGAGAGATGGGAAATATCGTTGTTTATGTACTGCTATGGATTTCGAAATTTAAGACATGAAAGTGACTTATCCAGACTTCGCATGAAAGAATCTATCACGGACACAGAGACAACGTGAGATGGTTAGAAATTCCAAATATCGCACACTCTAAAGGCTAAGGAATGAGGCCGAAAATTCAGTCAACACTTCCAGAACACTGACTTGAACAGATACCCTCTGGGGTGGATGTTGGAAAACTTAGTGG